TGCTCGCGGCCGCAGAGTTGGGGAGGCCGGGCGGGGGAGGGGGCGGCGCGCCTGCCCGCTAGCTCGCCGCAGTCGGACTGAACAGCCAGAGACACCGCGCGCTGCTTGCCCTCTCTCCTCTTCCTCCTCCTCTCGCCTCTCCCCTCCCTTCTCCGCCCAGCGACTCCTTTGTGCCTTCCTCCAGCCCTCACTTCGGCCTCTCCGATCCCAATTAGTCGGTTTCAAGGGGGCCCCCTCCGGTGGCCCCGCCCTCTCCTCAGCCCCCCAAAAAAGGGAACCTTGAAACCGCCCCGTCGAGCTCTAAGCACCAGCCCAAAATGTGCTCTCGGCCAATCAGATTTAAACCCGAGGACCAGCCCAGAGGCTGGATTGGTCGCCATAATATAATGAGATCAGAAACCAGATGCCAACAAAACTTTCCCCCCCTCCTTTTGCTTTTAAAGAGACAGCTATTATTATATTAAAGGCGGTTTGCCCAGAGCTGCATTTCTCCCGAATTGCGGCGGCGAGATCCAGATACACGCATTCCCCAGAACTGCCGCAGACCCAAGCCACTCAACCTTGGGTCACTTTTCTTCCGGGGGCCAAGGCGCTCTCCAGGGTAGGGCCTCTTTAAATCCTTGCCTCCGCCCCTGCTCCTTGAACCCCACCTATTCCAATTTTTCAGATCAAGTGAGAAATCTCAAGTTTAATTTTTTTTTTTTAAAAGAGACTTTAAAAAAACTAGCAGTTCTCAAAGACTTTTCTCTCAGCCCCTTCACATGGAATCCAGACAAAAGTATCACTTCACTCGATACGTAAAACCCTAGGAGTTTGCCTCGCCCCTCCTCCTACACACACCCTTAAATAACCCTCTGAAAAATGAGAGCCTGTCTCTTTAAGAGGCTCTTAAAGGAGCCTGGACTCCGGGGCGTAATTGCCCCGTAGCGAACACAAAGGAGCCCATTATGGTTCTTTGTGTTCGGTGGCACCTCAAAGTGAGAAAATTCAGGAACTTAGAGGCCCAGAGCTGGAGGGTTGGGCAGGGGTGGGAGAGGGGTGAGGTGAAGGAGAATGGTCGGAGCTGTGGCTTCCCCTTCCTCCTTCTTCCGAGGCAAATCTTAATTATGCAAAGTAAAGTTTAGTTGCCATAACGAGGAGGTCTTAATCAAAGGTTAATGGTGGGGGGTGGGGGATGACGGGCAGTTTTGAGTGAAGAGATGACTTTCTTAGGCCGCTTGGGGGAATTTTCCTCCTCTCTCTCCAGCTCTGCCTCCGCCCCCTAAAAGCTTCCAGATACTGTCTCCTGGGAGAGAGGAGTTTTACCCAAATCTTAAGTGATTCCACACCAGAAAGGGATGGTGTGAGTTGCAAGGGGGGAGGTTGGGGGTCGTCGTGGATTATCATCACCCCCACCCCATCTCACCTGGTTTGGGGTGGGTGGCGGTGGCCAGCAGGGTTCCTGCTAGTTTAAAAAGGTTTTCTTCTTTTTTCCCCTTCTAGGATTTTAAATTTGAGAGAGGAGTCTGGGGAGGAGAGGGAGGATTTGCATGTAAATCTCCTGGGCCTGGTACTGGATGATGGATCAATTATTTCTATTGTCTCTCCCTAGGGAAGGGGAGTCACTTAAAAAGAAGAAAGAAAATTGAGTTTAGAAAACCCCTTTGCGTCTCAGTATGAGCCAAATCCTCTCAGCCTAGTGAAATGTTTCTTGCTCCAATCTAGAAAAGGATTGCTTTAAAAACAAAAAGATGGGGGGGGGCGGAAATGTAAAGGAAAGAAAGAAGAAAGGAATAGGGAAAGGAAAGAAAATTCTAGGTGGATACATACAACAGATGCAGGTTTGACAGGATTTTATTTTATTTTTTTCTTGATTGATACAGTACGGATTTTCTGGGTTCTTTACAACATTAAAACACTCCTTATTGTATCCTGGAGAAGTTGCTTTTTCGTTACTTTAGGAAGAGGGTTTTCCTTCAAAATCGGGAAGATATGCTTCTCCTCTCCATTCCATGTCTATTCCACCCACAAGTCCTCTTTCATCCCCGAGTCATCTGGGGATGGGAGAGTTGTGCTCCTCTGCTCTGCAGGGCCCAAACTTACCTCGAGGTGTTGCTCCTTCAAATCTCCCCTCTTTCTCTTCCTCCAGGACTTCCTTAGAGCTAGTTCCAAGTCTCAGAGCTGAGCAGTGAAAACAAAAATGAATGAGGTAGGCTCCTACACTTCACTATGTATGAAGCTCAGAGTCTGATAGGAAACTGAGAGCAAATCTCTAATGGAAATGCAGCATCTTCAATTTCCTTTTGTAACAAACCTGTTTTCCTGCCCCAGGGTCAGGCTTGAATGACAATTATCCTCCAGCCACCCACAAGACAAAGCTGGAGCTGGAAAAAAGAAATAAAAGACACTCTT